ATGGGCTGATTCTGGCTGAACCTTTTCAGTATCTGCCTTCTGAGTGAGAAGACAAACTCACATCAATATGACCCCAATTATGCCCTTGCATTGCTTATTAATGGCTCAAGAAAGAAGATTCTTAAGTCCCCAGTTTTCAGTCCCCTTATGCAATTCTATTGCTTTTACTAAACTAGAGAAAGTTAAAAAAAAATCTATAATTATTTTCATTAGAATGAGACTCCTGTTTTTACTCAATTTCTTCAAAGTCTTCTGTCTAATTACAGCATTGAGAACTGTTGTGTGGAGGTGTTCATTACTCTGAGTTCCCACCTTGCCTCACCATCACTAAGTATAATGATTTCCCTTCACACATTTTAGTTGTCTGCTTCTTTTTGTGTTTGTTTTATGTTTAGAGCTGGTGAAAATGAATTTGTATTTATAAAACAGATAACCTCTGAGTATCTGCTAATGGGATGGGGGCCACACAAAGCAGTGAGGACTCAGAAAAGAATCAACTATATTCATGGTCCTAAGAGACTTAATATCTAGGGAACAAGTCAAATGAACAAATAGAATGACATGTGCAAGGCATTGTGGGAGTGGAGGAAGAGAAGCCCGTCACACCCAATTCGGCCTGGGTAAAATGGTAGGGACTGGGGTGGAGGAGAGTCTTCATAGAGAAGGTTAGGTTTGAGTTGAACTTGAAATATAAATATTAATTAATCCAGCAGATAAGAAGAGAAGGAAATTGCAGACAGTAGTAGTATAATACAAAGGATCAGAAAATGTGGAAAACATGGTGAGTCTGGGGAACTACAAATGGTTTTGCAATGCTTGGAAAGCAGGCAGAGTTGGTATCCAAACATACCAGCTAAGAATTAGCCCTGAGCCCAGAGCATGGGTAGGAAAGGATAGATAGTTGAGAGAGAGAAAGAGAGAGAGAGAGAGATGGGAAGGTAGGTACTTTCACCGAAGAATTTTAAATAAATGAATAAAAAATTAGAGCTTTTCCATCAATCCTGGCCAGGCTACTTTATTCTACCTAATATACTATTTTTCTTCTCTAAGCAGATTGCCCTGGAACGTTCTTGTTGGATGCCATCTTGTTTAGTTTAATCCACTCTTCCTTGTTATTTTAACGTAAGCCCAGGTAATCAAGGCCAAGGTTTTAATTATCTCCAATATCAAGCAATATGGAGCTAGCAGTTATTTTAAAAGGTCCTTGGCTGCTGGAGAGCAAGAAGAGAAAACCAATGGGGTCTGTGCCCAGGAGTATTTCCGGTCTGTGCTTCCAGCTCAGCATTTCTGGGGTACTTTACCAGGCTTTATAAAGATTTAGTTGAAAATCAACTATGGATTCCTCCCTAATTGGCTCGGCCAGGTTTAATCTGTTACTGGTCAAGCCAAGCTGGCTTCTATTATGCGGTGCACTGAGGATTTCCGGCATTGCTCTCATCCTAATGGAGGCTGGCTGTTTTTAGAAGTAAATCTTGGTGTTGATGAAGGCCGGTATCATTGTTTCCTCTGAAGTGAACCCAGAAGGACGTCCATCTGATACAGGATTTAGACCTTTAACTACAAAGAGCAAGTCCTGGATTTATATGCTAGATGATTATGCTTTGTTTTTGTTTTTTTATTTTTTAACTAAGATAAAACTTATTTGTTTCTGCCTCTTTGGGCTGATTTATGGAAATGCTCAGGGTACCCAGTCCAAGCAGACAATACCTGCAGCAATGGAATGTCTTCAGAGAGTGGCTGCTCTTGGCCCAGGTGACCCAGAGGAGGGGACAGGAGTGTCTTGTCACTCCAGACCCGGCACCACTGGCCTTTGCTGAGCCCCTTCCTTTGATGTTGTCCAGTCCTGAATACACAGACTTATAAGGCCAGGGGAAAGGGAAGAGACGTCATGTTGCATGGTCGGGATAATTTATGGGCACTACTGGCATCGTAAGTTGTTCATGTTGGCAGAAGAGGGACAGGAGAAAGCCCGTGTCTGGAGAGTTTGCAAAGACAGAAAAAGCAAACCATCAGGGCAAGGCCAGAAGAGAGGGTTCAAGACTGCCTCTGGAGTTCATGCGAAAGGAAGGAGAATAGTGGAGAGTCCCATGTTTCCTATAATCCTGGGAGGACATTGGATTTCCGGGCGCCCTTTGCACAAGTGTGATGAGGACACGCTGTATACATTTACGGTCACTCAGAAGTAACCTGTCCTTTCCCCACCCCCATCAGTCACCTTGCCAAGCCCTTGCTGGGGCTTTGAAGAGTTTGTACAATTTTGCCAGAGGATGTCACTTATGGAAAGAACATTTGCGCTATAGAACTGAGCTCACTAGAATTAAGATCAACTTAGAACTATAAATAAAGATATGTTCATACACACACACACACACACACACACACACACACATATGTATATGTATATAGGCATGCATTTTACCAAACACACACACACACATACACACACATATATGTATATGTATATAGGCATGCATTTTACCAGTTTTAGAAACCAGTCTAACATCTGTTTTACTTTCCTTGTTAATTCCATCCTCCTCTACCCTCTCTATCCCTACCCTCCCCCAACTCTAAAGTGAGTTCCTCAGCAAAGTTGCCTTTAAAAGATGCTATAGACCCTGCATTTTGGCTCCTAGAGCTTATTATTGAAGATTTCTCTTCTCAAACCCCTACTTCAATCCCCTTTGGCCAGCCAGCTAGCCATGCAGTCATTCCAAGGGCTCAACCTTGACAAATCTGCACTTTCTGATGTGTCTTGCCACTAACTGGCACCTGCCAGTCTCCTAGGGCCTGCTGAGCATCCATTAGGCACAAGGTTGATGGCAGTGACAGGACTGTATCAGCCAGAACAATAACTCATGACTGTAACCCAAGCAAACTGTCAGATTGTGCTGTAGTTCCACACAGATTCTCTTTCTTGAAACTTCTACTGTGGTTAGGCTATGTGTGAACTTTTATTTTTTTATTTATAGGTCCTGGTTTTTCATTCTTTTTTTTGAATATTCTAGAATCTTGAAGCTTGTCCACGAGATAGAATCATGGCATCATAGCAAATCAGACCTGGAGGGAATTTAAACCATTCTCTTCAACTTATCAGTGAGGATGCTGAAGCTCATTGAAACAGAGAATCACCCAAGGACATATGGCCAGAGAGAAACATATCCAGGGCTAGCGGTCAGGCCTCCTGACTCTCGTTCAGTACATATACTTTGAAGTTGTGTCTGTTTAGCTTATAAGTATGTGTATACACTGCAGCCATCTGTATGTGTTGATTTTTATTCCAACAACATTAAAATTACACTTAACAGTTATTAAGTGGCAGACATTGTTCTAGCACTTTATATATGCAATGTCATTTATCCTTATGACAACCTTGATGGGGGGGGGGTCTTATTATTATCATCCATTTACAATTA